AGAATATACGACGGGAGCGAGCAAATTTCGGTAATCGACTTCGGGATCGATCGATCGGTCGGTCGGTGAAAGCCCGATACAAGTTCTTACGGGAGGCAAGAAAGTTTCTGGACGCAATCAAAGAACAGGGGGCGGGAAGAAGAAAGATTACAGAAAGGGAAAAGTTCCGATTTCCCGGAAGGAAGCGCGGCCGGGTAACAAAAGAGGTCAGATTCAAGGATTCAAGGTAACAGTCGTGGAGAGAGAGAAAGAGAGAGAGAGAGAGAGAGAGAAGAGGGAAAATAAAAACAAACGGCGAGCCATGGGGTGGAAAATTAGAAAAGAGGGTTGGAAAAGAAAGAGAAAGGCGGGGAAGTAGAATTTCGCGGGACGAAACGGGGCAGGCGCGAGACGATCAATTACGTAACCCGATAAAAGTAGGTCACGTGTCAAAGTGCGGAGCCATCCCCAAGGTGTCCAACTTTTTGGTATAAGCTCGTAAATTACCAGTCAGCTAGCTGGTGCTACCCCCACGGCTTTAAATAGAACGTTGGCAGAGGCTCCTGTCCAACTATCTCTCCCTTTACCTCCCTCCCGCCCCCGGTTCTCCTCTCTTTCTCCGTGACTGTGCTTCCCTCTCGTTTCTCCCTCGTCACCATCATCCTCCGATTCCTTGCTTTCCTCTTTTTCGCCTCGCCTTCGAGATTCTCCCTTTTGTCCCTCGCGAGGGGGGGGGGGGGCGGTGTGCTCTTGTTCCTTTATCACGTAGTAGTAGATCACCTCTCCGTTTCGTCGAACACGAGGCAAAGTTAGCCGGACACGTAAGTCGCCGGTCGTTAGTCGTCGACGACGATAGCTCGCTCGAGCTGCCGTCGAGGGAGGAAAACAAGAGAAAACGAGAGACAGACTCTGCGAGAGAATGAGAATCTTTGAGAACGGGGGAGGGAGAGAGTCAAAGGGGTAGGACGCGAAGGAGGGAGGAGGACGGCGAGGAAAGGAGAGGGAAAAAGAAAATTCCTGTGTACCTATTCCAGTACGGAACAGACAGAGATGTAAGAAACGGAGACAGAGAGAGAGAGAGAGAGAGAGAGAGAGAGAGAGAGAGAGAGAAGAGAACGAGAACGTTTCTCTTTGTGTGTGTGTGTGTGTGGAAGTATTCCCGTACAGACCAAGCGTACTATGTGTGTGAAAAAGAGACAGAGGAAAGGAGGGAGAGGGAGAGAGAGAGAGAGAGAGAGAGAGAGAGAGAGAGAGAGAGAGAGAGAGAGAGCGTGACGGCAGGAAAGCTAAGACAATCAATAAGATCGCCGGGTCCGAAGGAGCTCGTGCTCGGATTCGTCGAGTTGCTTCGGTACTTCTTGCCAGGGACCACGAGACTCGCGTTTAACGGCTAAGTCGCAGTCTATTGTCGTTAAACGCAACGTCCCGAATTAGGATTCCCTGGAGAAAATGAACGAGGAAGGAATGAAGACGGACGGTACGGCGAACAACCAGGCGAAAAAGAAGACTTAAAGAGTAAAGGGGAGACTAAAGATACCGAGAAGGCAGGGAATTAGAAAGGACACCGACGGGATTTCCGCGGAAGAGGAGGCGAAAAAAGGGTAGACGGAAGAGAGAGACGGAAAGGCAGATAAAAAAAAAAAAAGTATGAGGTGGTATCGCGGACGGTCGATACGTACTCTAGTCAGCCAGTAATCGGATAGGTCAGGATAGACGGGGATAGGCCAGAAGAGTCGTTGGTATAAGACACGTATACGTATGTGTAGAGAAGAGCCAACCAGCGACGCCTAGTTCGGGGGGATGCATTCCGACGTTTGCACGAGGATAGTAATTTCTGGATACCAACCACTAAATTCCGACGATCACTCGTCGGTCTACTGGCAGAGAAATTACGATCCGAGATCGTCGCGCGATTGCTTGGCTGGTTCGACCTTCGGACACAGAAACGAGATCCCCCGGGGAAATCGATAAACGAAAGAAACAGTGGAAAGAGAACTTTTTGCCACGAAGCAACGCGAAAACCACCCTCGTTCGTACGAATGTGGCAAAAGTTAAGAAAAATGACGGAATCGCCGCTCTAGCGGATATTACCGGAACTAGGAATTACCCCCCCATTGGAGCTTACCCGCGAGGGTGAAGTTCTTTCGGAGGTGTTTCAATGGAGGGTTGCAAGCTCAAGTTCTACACCGTTCATGCTAAACTGTGACACCAGTCGATAAGGAAGACAGCCTGTTTAGCAGTGGTTTCCGGGAAAGGAAATACAATTCCTCGTAACTGGCTATAGTTGTTGCTACGGGAAAACGATTAAAGTTATAGTACAGCGAGTTGATCGCTCTTAATCCAATCATTGGATGTTCTTGTTTAAAACTCAGACTTATGCACACCGCTCGTTACACGCCGCGACGTTTGAATAAATTAACATCGGGCAAACATTGGACACGTATATAAAACGTCTGTATCTACTTTGCAGACGTAACGTCGTCGATGGCCACTTTCACTTGGTGAAAAAATTTTCAAGGAAACTTATGTCTCCTTAATATAATAGGAGAAAGAAAAAGGAAAAAAAAAAAAAAGAAAGAAGTTTCCATCAGAGTCTAAAATTACGACGGAGCCTCGATTGCATAGAGGCTCGCGTCGATATCGACTTCCATGGAACTGTTCCTATTTATTTCTCATTTATCTCACTCGCTTTTCGCGTCGAAGGCGAAACAACCTTTGTTTTATATTGGATATTTTACAAAAAGAACATGAGCGGAGCGGTGTATATACGCGACGTTGAAACGTTTCAAAAACGCATCGGTTCGTGAAATTCTAGCGAGTTGGAGAAGAGGGTGGTTTCAAGATCGAAACGGTCGTCCTACTTTCGGTAAAAGCATTATACGGACCTACATGCGTGGATTCGGAAGCAAAACATTTTTCTTTTTTTTTTTTTCAGCTACCCTTTCTACCGTACCCGCGTAACTAGAAAATGAAAATAGCTCGCCGACCCGTCTAAACCACCTCTATTTCTTTCTTTTTTTTTTTTCTTTCCTTTTTCCTTCTGTTCGCGCGCTGAAGATACTTCAATTATTTCGCTCGCCAGACTCGCGGTCGCATCGTACGCGTTCTCCGATAGTTTACCATCCTGTTTACAGTTATCGGCTACTGCTAATCAGTCCTGTGACTCATGCACAAATACGCACGGTGGAAAATGTTTCGAGACGAATTGAACGCGGGTGTATTCGTGTATTTCTATCACGCTACATGTGTTCCGACGACCGTGTGTAACTAGGACTGCATATGCATACCGCGTGCATATATTCAATTCTGGAAACGTGGGGACAAGCAAGTCACTTCAGAGAACGATAAAGAGAGAGGCCTTTGACGACGAAAGAATGGAACATGTGACGTCGAAGTTCAGAATGAAAAAAAGAGAGAGAGAGAGGGAGGAGAAAAAGAAGAAGCAGAAAAATAGCGAGAGATAGAGTGGAAGAAAAATTATACGACCGTGATAGCAAGGCTCTCGTAAGCCGGATAAAAAAAAAAAAAGTTTCAAGGAGGTCTCGGAAATGGATCTCTTTTTTCTTTTTTTCTCGAAAGTTTAACCAGATTCTTGTTTCAAGTAACCTTGACGTAATAAAAATAGAAAGAACCTGCTCCGTTTCGAATCTGACCGAATCGAAAAATCGAGGAAAAGGGGGACACATAACTTGGAACGTAATTAAATATCAGTTGACTATTTCCACCGAGCGTGGGAAAGCGTGATATTTTCAGACCCGACGAATCGATAAGTATATGCGTATACGATTCGTTAAGGGGACGGTATACGAACACTTAGCACGCTCCACCCCCTGTTGCGATGTTAAAAATTCATTAATACGAGGCTGGAGTAATTGTTTCCTCTCTGTCATAGAAGTTAATATAAACTATGTATAATTCATGCGCGGTTTAAATAGTTTTGATTCCGAGCGAAATTCGATCGATGAGCTTCGTTTAAAATTTAAATACGGGGACTTAAAGGGAAAGGATTAAAGAGCGTGCTCTGTCTGTCGGCATTTGACGTTCGACGGGTGTTGCGCTCAGAATCCGAAATTTTTTCGTCGTTTTAACGACGTTCCCCTGGTTTATTGAAACTCTGGCAAAGGCTGAAATAATAGAGTGGTTCGTCGAGAAACAGAAGAAAGAAAAGAAAAGAAAAGAAGTGAAGGAAGAAGACGAATTCTTGGTTGGCAATTGCCATTCTATTCACGTGATACAATATATCATTTTATTCCGTGTCTTGAAATGCATCAAACTTTCGCTCAGTTTTATCTCTTTAATTAATCTAGCTGATACGTAGAACCAGGCAGATCGTCCCGAGGTCTCCAATTTGCTAGAAAACTTTTATTAGAGTGCTTTAGCATGTTGCGAGAAGCCTGTACCACGCTGGGGATATTCTTCTAGGCCGTGGCGTTTCCAAATATCGGCAAAGAGAACGGGTCGAAAGAGAAAGAGTCGCGAACACAGACGTCGAAAGGACGTAATAGAAGAAAACAAAAAAAAATTATCGTTTCGCGTATACGCGGCCCCATTTATCGAACTTGCTGCCCCGCACAAAAGGAACCGTTCCGTCGAATGGAAACACCGTGTCCTATTTCTTCTCGAATCTCAACGCACTTTCCCTCTGTGCTGCTCTCACAAAGTGGTTGTACATAAGTCTGCATCCGCGCTACAACCAAAATCGCGATTGCCCCGTACCCTTTTCCCGTCAATCGGCAAATAAAACGACTGGCGGCACGAGCGTCGTTCCAATCGCAAACAGGAACATAAAGCCATAACTTCGTAAACGTTTCCATCGAATGGAAACTGACGATGGTAACAGCGGAGCAGAGGGAGTAGCGAGTAGCAAACGACGAGTCGTTTCCTCCCTCAGTGCATAAATAGCGAGGTGAGTTATTGCCTCGTAAGAAGCACGAGCCCGATAGGGGTGAATAAATAATTCACGGCCAGGCGGATCGGCCAGTCTGTCAAAGGTAAAAGGAAGTAATGGCGGAAGTACTTACCGGAGATGGGATCCGCGCCATCGAGCTTCCTGTCTAAGGAGACGTTCTCGTGAGCGGCTTCCTTGCTCGTCCTTGGACGGCATCCAGAGTTCGATTCACCGGTGCCGATCCCATCTTGGCTCTTGTGATCGTTTCTAAGATGATCGTTCCTCTCGTTCGATTTCGAGCCACCGCTACCGGCCACCACCTTCGTCGATGTTTTGCTACCGATCGCCCCGGTGTTTCCATTCAGGTTCCCGTTAACGTTGATGTTGTTACCGTTCGCGGACGAATGATTGTCAGCCTGGTGAAAAACGTTCGATGTCTTCTGTGGAACCTTGTTGTTACATCGCAAGAACTTTTCTAGTCATCACAATGAAACATTTACAAACCATGTACTCGGCCGTGTCGAGAAAGATGGAGGGAAGGACAGAGAGAGAGAGAGAGAGAAAGAGAGAGAAAAGAAAAGAAAAGAAGAGAAGAGAAAATCCAACGTAATCAACAACGCGAGGGACCGTTATCCGACGATAGGAGAATCCTAGTTGATTCGATCGAACCATTGAACGAATTAATCGACTCACCGTGGTGGTCATGCAGGTCGAGGAGGATGAGCGCACGACGACGATACGATTCTGATTGTGATCATTGGAGGCAATCGTGGACACAGCGGCGTGATTGGCGAGCCCATGGGTCTCGTGAGCGTTATTGGATCCAGCGTTGGAATTGGTGTTACCAGTAGCGACGTTACTACCGAGGGAAGTCTGTCTGATCACCAGAACGCTGCCAGCCGGCTCCAACACGACTACTTGCCTCATCCTCACCGTCCTCTTTTTAAGTCTTTCTTGCCGTTACTGACGAAGAAGGAGAACGTGCACAGGTTGCACGAAAGCTTCCTTGAAAACGATCCTCCTTCTTCGGCTGATCCAAGTATCCGACGGGAAATGCGTTCTCCAGCCTCCACCCCTCGGTTCTTAAAGCTCCAGCGCGATTGCTGCCACCTGCTCCTCCTGTACACACGTACACCAAGATACCCGATATTAAAGCTGTCGTCTTAAAGGATGATCCTACCCTTCCATCCTATTCCATGTCACGGCCTTCTCTTTCCCTTATGAACGTGTCATCCGAGCGTGTACCGGCGTGGCTTCTTTCGGAAAGTAAATCGATGAGATTATTTTGCCAGCCGCCGCTCTGTCTACTACCGTTCGCGATCGCTTTTTTACAGGCCGTTTTACTCAAGTATGAGTGGTAACGCTTAACGCGCCCGGCACCGCGACCACGCTCAATTTCAAATCCCCCGACTTCGACGAGACCAGTTGTGAACATCGCACACCGTCAGCTACCAGCTCAAAGATTGCGATACGGATTTTCAGGCGTGACGACCCGTCCTTTCAAATGGATATTCCGAAACGGTTCCACCGTCCACCGGCGAAATAATAAATTTACGCTAACGTCGGCTCTCACGCCAAGAGGAGAGATTCTGCGTTTCAACAATTAAATTTGCGGACCAACGACGAGGGATAGTAAAAAAGAAGAAACGGCTACCGCCAGGAAATATATTAATGGCCAGTTATCACGGGGGATTTCGTGGACTGGTGATAGATCGCTTGCAAAAATAAGAAATGAATATACACGGGCACGGGCATTTGAAACCGCTCCAAATAACATCGCGATATTAAGATTTCTTGGATCGGAAGCACGCGAGGGTGTTGCGTGTATCCAAAATCGCGTCTGGACAAGCTATATCTTTTGAAATTCATCTTCAGTTTGTGACGACGAACACCGCGCTTCTTCCAGCCTATCGGACCGATTCCGTTTACCGATATTTCGCTTCGAATTCGTCGGGGAACCGCGCCCGGCCAGGTAAGAACAATCCGCCCAAGTACCGACAAATCTATTTTTTATGATTTCATAGCTAGTTGGCTTTCCAAAGTTGATTCTAGTTGGCAGCCATTATCATACATGCGATTCTTGGCAGCCATTATCATAGATTCAGCCAGTAAAACTGAGTCAAAGTCTTCCGAAAAACGATTCCATCATAGAGATGAGAGACTTGAAATTATTTGAATAGGGGTGGAAACGTTGCCAGTTTCTTGATGAAATCCGAAATACAACACTCCGAAAAACGAATTGTCTTTCTTTTGTAATAATTCGTGTGACTAGATTCAGCAGATTTGTAACAGATTTTATACAAATACAAATTGCCAAAGCTTCCTTGAACTTTAATTTTTGAGTTCCAAAACGGATGTTCGCAGCTTTCTTCAATTCGAATTCAAATTTAAATTTTTAACAGCTCCGCCTCAGGCTTTTCACTCACGTTTCTCAAACGAGACAGTAATTTTCCTCTACTCGAATTGAACAGCGTTTAAAGACTATCATTTCCCGTGTCATTGGATACTCTTTAAATAAATTAGAAACGGCTGCGTCTATGTTAACCCACGTCGTACAATTAAAAAGGCACGCAACGTCACCTGTTTAGCATTGCACGATTGTGACAACATGTTCGAGTGTCCTACATTTGTAAATTCGCCGATCGATAGCGAGCTTTGTGTGTTTCGTGTCCTAAGACAAACATCCCTTAATAGTACGCGGTTAGTTCGAACGTACTTTCGATTGTCTCGATCGAGACAAGATCGACAAGAAGTTCCGAAATCACAGTGAACTATCCTCTTCGCTCTCGGTCCTCTCTCGTTCGAGAATCCGGGGGAAAAAGGACGATAATTCACAAAGGAGCATTCCGTCTACTCGGAATTTCATCATCCTCCACGCCCTTTCGGTTCCCATACCCTCTTCGCGATCCTGCACTTTGACTTCGCCACTCACCCTGACGACAGTTACCCACTCTCTCTTTGAGGAAAACAAACTAAATTTCCGGCTTGCCGTTACGTTCGCGAAAATCGATTTCCACGTTTCGAATCGTAGCTAAACATTCGCAGAATTCCAACGTGTCTGCACTTTGTACCTACCGGCCGTTACTTATTGTTAGATATCGCAGAATTAAAAAGTAGAATCCAATGGAAATTAATTAGGGATGATAATCGCCGGCGCGCGATTTATAGTTAAACTATGTACGAAACAATGCGAGACCTGATCGCATTTCCTGCGAAATTTCCCGTCTCACTCGAAAGTCCATAACGACTAAGTACTCGAGAGAAGAGACTTGTCTACTCGGAATTTCATCATTCTCCACGCCCTTCCGGCCTCTTATCCTCCTTCACCTCCTCCCCCCTCCCTCTCTCTCTCTCTCTCTCCCTCTCTCTCTCTCTCTCTCTCTACTGCACTTCAGAGTTTGGGATTCACCTTGGAGACAGTTACCCTCTTGCCCTCCGCTTTGAGAGCAGAGACCTAATTCTCCGACGTGTTTCAACCCTCATAAAATACGATCCCACAAGGGAACGTTACCACCGGTGCAACGGTCCGGCACCGGTTGAAAACCAATCGCTTCTCGATTAAATATTGCAAGTTTTTGCAACGTTCGTTACCGTTACGTGAATAAAATCTCACCGAGCCCGGGGATACTCGGATCGAATGAAGAAAAGGAAATGTCAGTCAATATTGAATGTTATGACGTAAAGCAAAGTTACCGCGCAAACACACGCGGTTATCTTCCTGTTTGTTTGACCGAGAATTAACCGATTTAATGGCTGATCAAGCGCCAATAATCCCGCTGATAAAAGAACGTTGGAATCGTCTACGATGCGGCACGTGGCCGACACAAAGGAATACAATCAACGTGGAATTTCGTCACGGTTTCTCGATCGTTCAGCCATCCTCCACGCCCTTCTCCTCTAAATCCCTTTCGCCCTCTTAATATCTCTCTCTCTCGCTCGCTTTAACATTGCGATTCACCTTCGAGCCAACCACCCTTCCTTTGAGACGCAATGACCCAGTTTCCGTCACCCCATGAATCGGTGAATTCAAGACATGAATTTTGAAAAAAAGGCGGCAGCGAAATATCTACCGGATACTAACCGGTTTACGAGTACTTCCACAACGAGTTTTCGAGTAACGTGTGAAATCGGCAACGATGACTCTCTCTCTTAGCTGATCGATTCGAAAAAAATTCGAATAACAGATAGCATTTTGCAGTCGTGAGGCTTTTTCGATATAAAAAGAAAAAAAGAGAAACGGAAGAGGAAATAAAACGACGCGCAGAGCGAAGGACCTTAGAATCGATGGAATGACGTTCGCGGGAAGATTTTTTTGACGTACGCGTCTCAAGTGGAATTGGTTTCAAAGCGGTCATTCGGAAGCTCCAATTAGCCAGGTTACGCAACGCTGTTCACGATTCCGCCAAACAAGATATACTTTCGCACGCAAATGCGGCGTCACAAATATCCGAAACACTTTTGCAGTACGTGCGGAATGTCGATGAATTCCACGTGTCGCGTGTCGGTTGATACAACGGCTGACGAATTTCTGCATCGAAAGCACGTTCGACAAATTAAACGGGATAATTTTCGCAAAAATCGGCGAGTGCGTTACGAGCGGCACCGGAAAGTAGAAAAAAACAAGAGACAAAAGAGTCGCGTAAACCACGATCGAATTGGAATCCGATGGAACCGACGTATGCACGTGAAAATCGGGGATGCTTATTTTTCTACGTGGCGAACGAGCAAACTCCCGCGCGAACGCGAAATTACCAACGAAGTGCGTTTCTTGGCTTTCGACATCGGGATACATCGTTCGGCTTTATGTTCCTTCCATTATTTGTTTATTCTACCTTCGAGAGAAACCGACCCAGTTTCCATCTACGTAAACGTACACGACCCGGAGAATAGGAAGCGGTGGACCTGAATTTTGGAAAAGGACGTCGTCGCCCGTGTATTTCCACAAAGGATTTTATTCTCGTTCGCCTTGAATATGTATAGTATATTTTTCTACGAATCCGGCCACGCGGACACAAGTTACAGAAGATTCGCTCCGAGAACTGCACGAACGGGAACGTTCGCCGAAAAATAAGTTAAAATTTAAATTTTTCAAAAGAAAAAAAAAAAAGAAAAGGAAGAAAAAGAGAAAAAAGAACGAAGTTTCAAAGTCCCCTATGTGCACATGCAATGACACAGGGATTTCCCCTTTGCCACACGTAGTATCAGTAATTTTTCCTACGTAACGCAATTAAAAATATGCATCGTTAAATTCAAGCTTCTCGTTGATTCAGCTCGTTAAAGCTGAAGGCAACACAATTTACGTATATTAGTTCAGCAACGCAATGTTAGTAGCGTAAAAACGTTCGCTGTTTTTTGCCGCGTTTCCCTAAACAAGCAGCATCTCTAGACGAAGTTCATGCAAAAGAGCGGGGCATTTTAGCCGGTGCAAACTTGTTTGCTCTAAGTTTGCCACGGTGCCTGGATGCCTGCCACGCATTTCAGTTTGCCCAACATTAATATCCTGCGCAAATGCATACAACATCGCGACTATCTCCGACGCTTTTCAGCCCAAAGGACTATTACTAGATAAAGGCTACAACTTCCTGAATTTGTTGCCCCACAGTTGCAGACTGATTTCCCGAACAACCGAACTTGCGCGCCGTAAATTTCCGCGCACAATCTGATTTCACTTATGCAGAACGCACCGCTAATAAAAATGCGATCGACCAGCATTTTACGTACAAAGAAATCGAAAATATATAAAACGAAGCTCTTTTTCACGAGGCGTTCCCTTCTCGATGGAATTCAATTTGAAAATTTACTCACAGAGTGTAAAAACTTGATTAATTATCAATACGATACGAGTGAGCAATCGGTAGGATTTTTCTGCTTTTTTCTGATTTTTCTGCAAGAAAAAACCTAAAAGCGTAGAACAAAATTGTTCCATTAAAAGCCTCGTTTTCAAGGAAATAGACTCTGTACATATTTAAGCAAGAATTGACCTAGTGCTCGCGTACTTGGTGAATTTTCAAATGCCATTTTCTCGAAATGAGAAATATTCTGCGAGAAAATTTCATTCTACATTTCCGACTCATTTTCACATATGGTACTCAACCTCCTGTCCAATTAGTCGAATTTTCTTTACAAATTTTCATAGTTCGATCATGTCGGTCACACATTTCATTCTACATCTCTCTACTTTTTTCTTGACGCAGTATCAACTCCCTACCGAGACATTCTCCATATAAATCTATAGAACGCTAACGCGAATCGCAGTTGAAATTTTAAACTTTGCGAGATGGAAAAGAAATAAAAGGCAGGAGGTGCCTTGAAATGTGGTAAAGAGCGTGTGCTCGTCTCCTCTTCGAGGAGAGGAAGAGACAGAATCCCCCTTTTTCAAAGTTGACGATAACTTCCGCGAGTAATACTTTCAAGAGCAAGGTGAATCGTTTACCAGCTCGACCTCGTCTGGGTGAGATAGGAAGCGGCGAGACAGCCAGTCGAGAAAGTGAAGGAAGTCGTCCCGAATCGTATAGAGGTTGTCAACAAGTTACATGTGTTGAAAATCATGCCGAGAACGTAAATGGTAGTTGGGGAAATTGATCGAGTTATCTGGACATCACTCACACACCGAGAAACTACATTGTGAAACGGCTGTAAATAAAAATCCGGAGCTACCTCTAAATCCTACTTTTCGAAAGAAAATGTCAAGACTACGCGACACAGCAAATATGTTTACGTCGAAGGCGGACACTTTTGAAGATTTGTTGTGTCTCTTCGATGCTTTACAATTTTTATCAAAGAAGAATTGAGAATGCTACCATTCTGTGCATGCTACCGTAAAAATTCGATCAAATAGTTGATACAACGAATTGTTAATTCCAAGCTGGGTTCGAATATTCTATTGAACTGAAACAAAGAATAATACCTGCCTGTGTGAGAGGTTTATTTGCAATGTAATCTCATAAAATAGTTGGAAACGTATATTTCTACCACTTATTGTTCAGTCTTTTGCTCGTACTTAAGGAATTTTATTTAAAGTTACACATCAAACCTCTTTCGACACGAATGAAATTCAGTTTCATTCGCGCATCATCTTATCCACGCTCAAATCAAAGAAATCATTTTCAGATTCTTCCTCTGATCTGCTAATCGAGTTTACAAGTGCAAGCGTTCAAATTGTTACGATAGTAACGTTAATTGGCCATTCGTAACGTTGCAATGGTACATTAACGGCGATCGTATTAAGAGTGAAAATCGTGCGGAAATACAACGATTATGGGGGAATGGGAAAATGCGAATGACCTCGCATGCCTCTATTTAACGCAACGCAAAAATAGATCGGCCTTTTCGAACAACACTATTTCCCACAAATTGCTATTAACTTATTTAACCGCGTTATGTAGATTGTACGCAACGACGTTTCCTCCCTCTTTTTTTTTTTTTTTTTTTTCTTTACAAATCATTCAGCCAGAGCGCACCGAGAGAACGTTATTTATATTCGATACATGCCGAACGATTTCATGTCATTTCGATGAAATAAACGTTATTGCAAATCGAAACGAACGGAAAACGCGTGCCGAGAAGCATTTATTTCGATGGAACGAAGCTGATGCGTTTCTACGTACACCATTTACAATGTTCCAATGTGTCTTTCTCGCCATGAAAGGAATCAGGATACAGTGTACCATATATGCTCCACAATGACGCAGGAAATGATAACGGATATGCGCATTTCCGCATCGAATAATGCAAAAGTTGCATTAATATTTCTTTGACGAAAATATTAAAAGGAAAGCGAGACACGACGAGCAGAAGAAGCGCGTATGAATTAGAAAATAGGTAGAATACGATTGGCATCCCTTAATTATCTTTGCTTCAACACCACGTGATTAGCAACGCAACCTTTCCTATCATTGATCCAACGTGCACGGTAGAGTCATGGATTTCAACAGTAACATCTGGTAACCTGGTTATCCATAAAGAGTTACCTAATCGAAAAGAAGACAGAATATTACCGAAAACTTAGCGTCCACCGGTCGATATAAAAATGACTACGTTGGCAGTCAAGCGATAAAGATAGATCTAGAATAAAATTGTACCGAACTATGTGGTTAAACAAAATACAAATAACATCGAGGAAGAAAGCTAGTTTTTACCGGTCTTTGAACAGTTCTGTTCTTTTTTACATGTCATTCCACTGCCTTATCAGACCAATTGTTCACGACATATCTCCGAAGTAATTAAACTTTCACGCATAAAACCAAGAAACGCATATTGAATTTTTAAACTAGAGCGTAAATAAAATGGAATTTGATTATCATCGTACGAAAGACCTTGGGCATAAAACCCAGTTGACAAACATTCGTGATATACAAATGCAAAATGACGTCATGCAACCGATATACCTCTCGTATCTAGAAAATTTAAAGAATAACGCAATATAACGTGCAAAACGCTAATTTTAAGAGCGATAAAATCTGATATTCCGTAGACGCTACACCGACCTAATTTCTTTTAAACAAACGATATCGATACCTAGCAAGTATAATAAAAATAGAGTACGCCTTGTCTAGAACTGTAAAAACATGAATAATACAGTAAAATGAACAAGACGAGCCACTACTAGCAGCTATCAGAGAACAATTATCGATCATCAAACAATATGGAGGTTACAGAAGTCTTTTTGTATATTGTACATACATCGTTCGAAGACACTACCCTCAGAGGCGAAAGTGTATTTCCCACGACGTGGCCCGATCGGATTTATCGATTTAATCAGGTCTAATCCCGCTGATGATTGAAGTGAGCCTGAGCGTGAAACTTTGTATCTTTAACATACTACACAACAGGTATCCCCCGTATGTGAATGCACCGACAGTTCTATTATTATCGTTGCACGTGCCGCTCTATCGGCAGATAACCGCTGTACATGTTCGATAGTCGCTTCGCACATAATGGTCTATCATATTTATTTGCTTTTTAATGTTACACATGTGCGCCCCTACAGCCGTCGTAATTTATACCACAGGAATACGCGTGCAGGTGTTATGTAGTCATGCTGTATAATCTTGGTATTGTGTACAATTTCTAGGCGTCCCACACAGTGCCAGAGGTGGATATCGGTTATGTGTTAGACTCAACAAGTCCAAAGAAGTTTGTGTGTCTACTTTTATTTGCATTGCCGGTGCCAACACAAATCCTATATATATCTACAATTGTGTTGTTAGCTAAAATATAGAAAAAAAGAAAGGAACTTATTATGGTTAAATAAAAGTAATAACGGTAACTGTACCTACAATACAGAATAATATGCTCGTAAACTGTAGCTATTTACAATAACTTGAAGTGTGATTCAGCGTCGTATACGAGTACTCAAATAACTCGCGAAACAGGTGTAAGCCAATCATATATATGTTCTAGCCTAAATGCACAGAACAAAGCAATAATATTCGAGTGATTCGTCGTGGAAAATCGCAACAAAAGTGGCGTAACTTGTGATAAATAAGCGTGAATATTGATAGCTTTCGCTTTTTCTCTATGATATTCAGTTGTTCCTTTATCGCGCGATGTGTGCATCAAGCACAAGGTTTCCTTAAACAGAAGATTACAACTTGGCTTCTAAGTATACTTTGAATCGACCAGCAGCTTTTCACCTCTAAGGCACCACTGTCCGTTTTGTCTTTTAATAGCTTCTGCTGAAACTTAAAATTTCAACCGTCGCACTGGGCGAATATCGATTATCGTTTCTGATGTAGCGCGTTAAGATGAATGATAAAATAACCGGTGACAACGGAGCAAAAAAGAAAAAAAAGAAACCGAGTACTAACAAACGGTGTTAGTTTAATAGTTAACAATTAGATGTGAAACGAAGCCGTAAAAGATGACTTGCATAGATTACGACGGAATAGCTAGCAGAACCACAAGTGGCAGGAAACACATATAGCAACATTCTTGATAACAGCTGATTACGATGAGCTCGCCCAGGCACAATGGTCGTCGTTTAATGAACCACGTTGCATGCTGACATTCCAATACAGATTATTATAAACGCTTCCCGCCAAAAATTCTAATTCAACAACGCCATACCATCAAACTGTCATCGAAGAAACAAACACCATACTACTGAATAATTGAGCCCATACTTTAAAACCGTTTCGCATAGCCACGGTACGTGTACACACACCAATCGCATTTACTCTTTCGAAATAACCTCGGGACCGACAATTCGAGAAACAACGTGCCGGTATACAACACGAAAATTATAAAATTCTCAATACCTTCGTTTATGCCAGAGCTGCAGGTTTACGGTATGTACTAAAAATAGCGGTACCCATAAAACTGCTCGGTGAGAATCGCCACGAGACTTCGAAGACGTAGCGTATACAATACGCGACCACGGTGTAACCTAAACATTGGTAAACTGATGAGGATTCGAAGAATCTTGTTTCCACCGAATGTTACCAAGGCAAAAACTAATCGCAGGTAGAAAAAACTCAGTCAGGTTCGCAAAAAATTTCTCTAAGACTCGACGCTACGATACGAGGACAGCGTGTAATGTACGCGTAAATCGACTCACGGTATACGCATCGTATCGCTTGTCGCTAATAAATATCTATTTCATCGAGCAAAACGGCACGATGTAACAAAATACTTACAATATCTGTTCTCCGTATGACAGAAGAAGGCTCGTAACCCGTGTCGAGAGGGTTCATCTTGCAACGATTGTTTACGCGGCGCCAACACTTGGATTAGTGAAATATCACCACTTTACCACCGGCTCATAATCGTGCATTACTTTTATACACGTATTTCTCGATGTATCGTTGATTTTCACGCAGAAAATCGTGCGATCACGCGTGCCTGCGCTCGCGGTCGATCCTTGGAATCCATGACAGGTACGAGCACGGGTATGGCTGCGAGCCGCATGCGCCAAAGCACAAGTTATCACGCTCTACCACCAAGGCAAGCGGCTGACATGTAGATGAGAAACTCCGCTTCGAATTTAAATTTTTACTTCTAAGACCACACTGTTTCAATTGTATTCACTCGAAACCTTAATTAATCCAACAGATTAAAACTAATTAGAACGCGTCTCCACGCCTCCCACTTTCGTCCGTTGGCATTCGTGACAGCGTTCAATTTGTTGCGCGTCAAATCAATTACTCGATCAATTATGAAAAAAAAAAAATAGAATTTTAGATTTAACAAACAATTCGCGAGAATTATTAATCTTTCATTTATTTTATTTGTTACGTACCTGCTTTCCCGTTAAAATGCACGATGAAAATGTCACGATGTCGTAATTTTTATTTAAAAATAATAACAAGTAGCCCCGAATAATTTCAACTTCCGGTGCATATATAAATTTATAGATTTCCTATTCAAAAAATGACAATATTATTCTAAAAAAAACATAATTAAAAACGTTTATTTAACTGCAATAACAATTCAATGAATTAAATTAAGAAACATACATTAAATGTCAATACATTTGATTGATTTCAAATTTCAAATCGGTATTAACGAATTAGAGACAAGCACATCCATTCGACTTGCGTGGTTTGAGTCTAAATAGTTTGAACTGCAAACGTTAGTTCGTTATGCCGCGAAAACCCGCGAACGTCATTATGCAATCGGTAGTGAAATTTATTTAAAAAAAAGTGGTGAAATTTCGGATGACATCGCAATTCTTGGCCCAGTCGCTGTAAAAACAACTACGAATGGTGAGTCTACATAATAGTTATAAATTATTATAAAAATCTCGGAGTAAACTGAAAAGAAAGCAATGAAGAAAGTTTTAGCTGAATACTCCATGTTAGCTCAATACATTTTAAAATTCAAAATGAATTTATGGACATTTTATCATTAAGTCATGCATAAGATAAATATTTTATCAAAAATTTAAATCGTACGCATTCATGGATTATTACTATCACAAAAAAGATATACGGAAAATTCGAATTTATTGTGGAATCCAATATTCAAAATGTTTGCAGTTACAACTATTGTTTAGCGACCATATTGTTTTTTTAATTTTACGTTTTCGTTACATCTGAAGATTCATATGAACATTTGAATAACACAGAAATCAATCATTCAACAATTAACATTATTTTAAAAAATTACAACATGACATAACGTTTCAAATTACATACATATTTTATTATGCATATGAATTTTAACATAGAGAGACAAAAATTGTTCCTTTACAATAAATCAAGACATTCTCTATTTCACAAATGTTCAATAACCTAACTTCATTTTAAATATCATTCATGTTATTTAGCGATTACTTTAAACTTTCTCGTTGTAACGATACCAAAGAGGTCGTGAATTTTTAGTTTACAAAGAGACTAAAAAATGTCATTAACGTAATGTATAATGAAATACGATATAATACATTCAAGATTAAAATCTAATTCAACGCATGAAATTACAAATATTAATTTTCACAAAAGTTGGAATTTCACTAAAATTCAGATAGAATAAAATTGTTATACAAAGACTCTTAAAAAGAACTCGAACTTACGCATGCTACGATAAAAATATAAAACACGGAAAACTAGATTACAAAAAACATTGGCACAAAAATCTTCCCCTCTTGGTATCTATCTATTTATTTGTTTAATCATTTGTCAGTTAGTCTGAGTATTTCAGAAAACTTTTTTTTAAATATGCGCCGTAAAGTGATAGTTCTGAGAAAATGATATTTATGTTTTGAGATTACTCATTTACAATTAATGCGATGAGATTATTAACATCGTGTCTCATATAGACCGCTTCGGCCTATGTATCTCACCCATTTTATAACATCATGATCGGAATAATTTAGTTTGGATTCAAATACTTTCAAGTAACGAACTTTGAATCCAGAGGGCGCAAATGGTACTTCGAAATTCATCGATATTGGAGGCCGGGTCCACCTTTTCTTCGTGTCGGTTTCAAGCAAATCGATTTCTGCTGATAACTGAGTTTCCTTCATACCAGCCATGCGCTTAATTTTCCATACAATAGCATTTTCGGATGCTTTATATTTTGCTTTCCCTTTCAAGCAAATCAATTGTACTCCAGCAGTGTTCAGTGGAGTGGGTACTCGAACTTCGATCTTTTGCCCCAACAAAGATGGTTTAAAATTTGACTTCAGTACTGCTTTCACCTCCATTTTTGTACGTCCCACTTCACGTACTAATGGAATGACACGGAATGGCAATGATATATCTTTGGTGGTACGATATCTATAAAAGATTTACCATTACCAAAGAATATTGAAGAACTGTAATGTTTAGTAATTTTGTTTTACACGTGCGATATTTTCTTGAAGGATTTTTACCTCATCAATTCAAATTCTCCATCAGGAGGTATAAAACTGATGGCATGCTCTGTCTCAAATTTACTAAGCTTAACACACTGATGAAATTGGCAGTCATCAATCACGACAACAGGTTTTCCAGATCTAGCACCTGTAGGATCATCTCCACCTCCTCCCAAGCCACTTCCACCTTTCATACCTTTAGCCTCCATAACAATCTTATCATTGATTCCAAATTTGCATTCTGGCATTCCAGACAAATAAGACTTCATCACAACCTGATATAGAAAATAAGATTAATAAATTTCCAAATATCTCAGATTTTCTCATTTTCTGCTTTTAAATAATAACCTTCCCAGCAACATGTGCGCTCAGCACTTGTCCTTGAGGACTCATTAAGAGATTCACATATTCAAGAACATCAAGGAATAATTCATTGCGTCTGTACTTGATACCCTCTCTTCTCCATCCGATCTGACCTGTTACCTGCGAAGTTATTTGAGCCTGTTCTTCCTTTGTTGCTGATTTTACTCCTTGCTGAGTAATGAATGTTTTTAAAACTCCAGTGTCACAATTTTGTGGATAACCAAAATCCAAGATTTCTGAACAATAAATTTAATTACACATTAGTATTAAAAATAAAATGTGTTTTATCTAAATAAATATCATTACAAAGCATACTAACCATCCAAAAGCTCATAAATTAGGACAAAGTTGTTCTTGATATTTTCTTCAGAAATTTTACCAAAGTATGATTGCATAACATCAATAATTTTTAATAAAAATTCAAAGACCATAGCAGCATTAACATTTTGTTTAGTAACAGCAGCTAGCCAAATATTAGCACGTTTTATATGAAAGAAGGATGTTCTAGCAATATTGGTAACAGGAGAACGTACTTGTTGTCTGGCATGGATAACATTGACACGAAATGCATCGACTGCATTCCGTCCAATGTCATCTCTGTACACTCTAGAGATGAGTACCTCTCCCTTATGATTATACACAAATAAACCCCCTATCATTTTGACAGAGGGTATTTTTTATTACTCCAATTACAATCAATCTACAAACAAATAATACATATTTTTATCAAAATATATTTGTAAATTATATGTTTCATGCATTAGAAGTATGTATATAACGATAAAAATCTGTAGCAATATAAATGTAATGTGTATTAAAACACATCATTAGCTCTCCAAAAGAATTATAAAAAATCAATGAATGAAAGTCTAAGAAAACTTTTTAGCATAATATTGTATTAATTCAATTATAATATTATAAGGGTCACGTATAAAAAGCTTGAAAAGTGTAATTTATGTAAAAATTAACATGAAGTTCTTACATTGTATAAAAGATAACGCCCCTTTTCTTAAATGACATTTGAGGTTCTCTAATATGTCTTGTAAACGGTTAGTATTATTGATCGGAAATGAACGGCCTATATCGTACGCATTATCATTATTAAAAATTCCCGGAAAATTAGAAAACGCAAATATACATGAATATGAATTTCAGAATTGTAAAAGATCACTTACACATGACTCTTGAGATGATTAATAAAAATAAGAGACTAATTTGTATCAGCCTCCGAAATGTATAGTAACAGTACCAACCTACTGATACAAGAGCGAACTATCAAATGACGAAAGCAACACCCACTTCTTTATACTACGTATTTCAAAGACATATACCATTACGATAAGTTAGATTTAAAATAATAATTGATTGATATAACACATAACAACGGGTTGTACTTAAATTTAGATTTACCTGTCCAACATTATAATTACAATTATCTTAACTGTACATTTATAGGGCAAATAGGGTTGTTGTATTGATTTCAAAACCGGTAGTTATACATTTTATATGCTTAATCATTGTAATAAAAGTATCAGAAAAATATTAAATCATACCTGTAAATCATTTACTGTTTAAACCCTTTCTTTGTATCTTGAAAAATTTTTGTTTATATCAATTATATTTCTTCAAATACAGAATATAAACAAAATCTACATATATATATAAAACTATCTATACTTTTGATAAAAATACATATTTCTTTTGTTATTTGATAACTATGTATACATGTTTTAATTAAATACAAAATACAAAGTTCAATCATTTGCTCGATAGACATCCAAAAATCTCCTTATACCCAAAAGATAGTATATGAAGTGTTTATATCAACGCCTGCGCGTTATGCGTGTGTACTGTGTATTACAAAATAATTTACATAAAAAAGATCTGAATCTTGCATCGTTATGTGATTTTCATTAACGTGATAATACTTGTAGTTATAATTATGGCTGACCAAGATGCAAATAATAATAACCTTACTTTGAGGGAAAATTTAGTAAGTTCCGATCATTCTTAAGCTCTACATATATATACATATGTGTATATTTATATATTTACTTAAGGATTTTAACTTTCTTTATATTAAAACATTTCACTAAAGTGACTTAAAATAAAATTGCACATTGACCGATTATATAAGTACTAAAAGCAAAATAACTCGGTATAAAAAAAATTTTTCTTTAAGGTGAAAACAGCAGTGGAATTTTTACAAAATCCTAAAGTACAAACTAGTCCTATTGGACGTAAACAAGAATTTCTTCAAAGAAAGGGATTAACAGAGGAGGAAATTAAAAGGGCATTTAAATTAGCTTCTATTGACATAACGATTGATCAAAATGCTGTCCTCAATTCAAGTGATTATACAGTGGTTCCTATTCCACCATATCAGATGCATCGTTTTCAAACATACCCATACCAAATAACTCTTTTCCAAAGAATTAAAGAATTCTTCAATGCTACTGCCTTAATTGGAGCTACTATATATTGCGTTTACTGGATCTACAAAGTATTGTCATATATATACATATATATATATGATACAAACTTTACTTTAAAATCATATGGCAGATTAATTACATTATACTTCATTATAGAAATTTATCGAACCATTTTTATTTGGCCGGAGAAAGAAAGATAGTATAAGGGATTCAGTTACTGAGTTAGATAAGACTATTCAAAATTCCATGAAAGAAGTAAAACAATCTATTTCTAAAGTTGAGGGAGATGTTCAAAAGTTGTCACAGAATCATACTATGGACCCAATGATACCTCAGTTGGTGCAAGAATTGAAACAGGATTTAGCTAGTCTCAAATCGTTACTTTTATCAAGGTATAATATATTTATATTATGCTTTAGCATGATTACATATTGAACCATGTACAACATGTAATCAATTTTTTGAATATGTAACATTTATTCTTATACAAGATAATCATTCTATTTATACATCATATACTATTTTATTTTGAAATTTATACAATAATCTTAAGATATAATTTTTATACAAAAGTTCATTTCCATCTTCTTTTTTTGCTGATTCACGCAGATACAAATACGTATTTATTTCAGATCCAATCAGTCAGATACATTCATTTAAAAATATAAAAGTAAAAATTTTTTTGAGTAAAAAAACTATAAAATATATCAATCAAATCGTGATTGATTACAAAGAATATGTAAAAAAAACACAGAGTTTATGTTTAACGTTCTAGTATAACTTGTAACTAGTATTGCCAAAATTGTAATTATGAAATTTGTACATAGAAAGTTAAAGAATTTACAAACATTCGTATTTACTAAAATTTCAAATTTTAAACAGAAAGCAATTTCCAAGTGCGCCAGCATCAGTTCCACCTATATCTATACCAACATGGCAATTAGATGCTGCAGGTACAAGTCAAGAAAAACCAACTGAACGAGAAGATGATGCTGGAAGTGGAAGTAGCGCTAATAATTCAGATAGCTCTCTGGAAATGATCCGCGAAGATCCACCTAAAGTGTGAATCTAAAATAGTTCATAAACATTCACTTCCACCATAACAGTCTTCGATGTACAGAATATTCTGTGATGTCTATTAAAAGGAATAGATGGTTTTGATCACATGTAATATATATTAAGAATCGACGTTTTTACAATTATTATATTACCGATTGACTTTTATTTTGCCAGAAACTCGGAGTATATAACTATTATTATTCTTATAAAGAGGATGTAAGGTTATTTGTAAAACAAAAGGATATATCATTTTTTAAACAATATTAAATTGTAAATGATGCTTATTATTTAATTTTTATTTTATTTTTCTTTTCCTTGGAAATCTCTGAAAGAATTAACATTTGTTCCGCTTTGATTATTAGCATCAATCTTCCATCCCTGTTCTTAAAAGGCCTCGTATATTGTTTAATAATTTTTATAACATTGAAATAAAAGAGTAGATAAGAAATTAAAACATTTCCTTAACAATATTCATAATGCACAGACATATTACTATTTAGATAATTACTTAAAGAAGTCATCTATTTAAAATATTTGACAATATAATGGGGAAGGTATAGAACCAAAAATACGAACTATCTTTACAAACTAATTATGTACATTTTAATCCATATTTAAATTTAAAAAGACAATCGCGATACACAGAATCATATTAAGCCAAAGGCTATATTTATACAAGTTGTTTTGCAGTGTATATTTGAAATTAAAAAATTATTATTTTCTTGACATATACATATAACTGCATGTATGTGATAACAAAAGATACATACACGTACATACAAGTATATTATGTACAGAAAGACATTACTTAAATGTAGTGTAATCCAGCTTTATTCTATACTTATTACCCATGGCTATCCTTACTTTGGAATAAATTACTATTAATAATATTCCATGTGAGCAGTTCGTTTGATATACGTCAATAAATAAACAGTTACATGCAATTTATTTTGAGAACAAAATATTATTTGAACCTCGTGCACATGGGCATTTTTTAAAAATTGAAGTATGATTAAGTGAAATTAACATTTATATATATTTATATCTGTATATATGCATATATAAATGTTACATGAAATGTTTAATGGCTTAATTACACTTCTCAGTCACTCAAACCAGTCGTTCTGCAATAAACACATTCCTCATCAGTACAAACCATATAATCTTTTAGTATAATATTTTTGAATGATTAAACAAGCGAACAAATGTACTGTAATGCTATATGTACGATTACATCCGTTCACTGTTACTTTATTTTTCTACTTTTTGACTCCTTAATATCGTACATTGCGTCAAACAATTTTTAATTATCCTCGAAATTTATTGAAATCAAATATCGCTTCTTTATAATTCTTTAATACTTCTTTTTATTATTAGGTATATTCAGGGAAGCTGCCTCACTGATACAGTGAGTTACAGCAAAGTCTATTTAAAGTGTGACTTAGTATTCTTTTTTATCCTTTTTTAATACTACATTTCAAGTTCAATGATATTATATATAACAGAAATAATTTGTTTAAAAAATATAACACTTTTTTATCATGTGTGGCAAAATATTTAAAACGTTCTGTATTGTATCATTACTTAGAACAAAATTATTTCGAGTAAAATATATATAAATCTATATTAATTGAAAATCTTGATCTTTGGCAAATACAGTTTTTTTTTTTTTTTTTTTTCTTAAAAAAAAGCTCTGTGTGTTTGTTGTTGCACACCATAAACAACGAAAATATCAAGATACTTTGTGCTAATTTAAATAGTTTGGTTGAAGGTCCCACTCCCTTTCAGACTTACTCGCTATGGTTTTGTTTTCTAACGAGCGTAGAAAATGAGGATAGGGTGTGTCAAAGGATCATCATCTCATCATTTAGTCAGCATCCTAATATCTACTAACACAGTACCAATAACAATAATTCTAGATTAAACACGTTAGCTAAACGTTTTGTAGCTCGGTCTCTAATAAATCTAATTTATTACTTAATCCAAACTATGCTACCAAGTATGATGTAAATGTAAATTCCTTGAAAGAACGGACCGCACGTCTTGTGTGAAACGAAGTGCATCCAAAACTGGAAGTAAACTTAATAGAGCAGTATCTCCCGCGTCGCTGAACCATGACTTTATTGGTATTGCATTATCTGCGATAACAGAAAGAAAGGAATAAACGTGTAAATAATCGTTGCAGAAACTTAACACATGAATAACATTTTTAAGTCTAAAATATCTAAAAACGAAATATCAATTATAAAATCATAGTTGTCTAATATAACATTCAAGAAAATTCTATATTTTCTTTGTGTGAAAATTAATTCTACTACTCTCAGCCTCTAAGTTTAGAATGGATTATGATTTTCTTGAATGTTGCAGATAAAAAAACATCAAATATAAAAATAAAATCTAATCTTTAAACTAGTACCTGATATACAGGAATTATTAAAAAAAATTATTAAAACAGTCGAAATTAGTTCATTGCCAATTCGACGTAGTGTCCAGTGCTTATTCAAGTGGAGGAGCATTGGCAATTGAGCATATTTTACATCTATCCATAGGCCTGTATTCAATGCTTGCTTACAGAACATCAACGCTGATAGCTGGAAATAGATACGGTTTTCAATAAAATTTGTCTCAACTTTTGATTTCGTTATTTGTTTATCCAGTCAAACTATATAAAATGTAAGTCTAGTATCTAAACAATTCGAAACAAAATCATAAAGTATGCCACTGTTTTTTCTGTTATGAATGCAGTATCATTTATTTATAGTAATTTAAATAAAGCAACGATCATAACAATAATAATAGTAATAAATGCACTGAAATTACACGGCCATGTAAATTTTTTGATTCTATAAAACAAACTAAATATTTGAAACATACTTTAACTTACAATTTGTTATTTTATCTATTTTATTTATTTATTTTGCAAGATAAAATAATAATGATCAAATAATTTGATATCAGTGACCACATAGACAATATAAATTCGTAAATAAATATATTGCAAAAACAATTCTCTATTTTAAAGATGAAAGAAGATATTTAAATCCTTAATTATTACAATCATTAAATAATAAATATATCTTTAATTATTAAAGCACATGAACATCAGAATGTATTTGTAGAATGTTATTGATGAATACAATTTCTGTATGAATTTGATTAAAATTTGTTGAGTAATGAGATCAGGAAATATTTACTCAATATATTTAATTTAGATCAAGATTGAATTATTCCACTACACATAGTTGTGCACATGTAAGCAAGTTCTGACTACAGGATACATAGTACATGATACAACAATAGTATTAAACATATAAAAATAATCCTATATGTAAATATATACACAAATTAACATGTATATTTCCACTTCTTTCTTTTACGAATTGCAATAATTTAATAATTTGTATACAACTATTGTCATATCATACACAAAATTGAACTGTTGTATGATATATGATTATTTTTGACATATATGAAAAAAATTAAAAAATTATGAAATCATGTTAAATCAGACAACTACATTATAAAAGCCATGAGAAATTATTATTGCATTGAAAATGCATGTTGTAAATACTTACGAGGATAAGCCCTGTAGGCTCCAGGACTGTTATCAAGTATAAAGACTGATGCTAAGTCTGAACAAATTGCAGACAGATCTTTAGTATAGGAACCCATTTCTGGTGTACAATGTTGTCTATAGTATCTTCTTCTTAAAATACCTCTGTTGTTATCTAATTTTTCTGCAACAGCTGCTCCATAAATTTCCATGGAAGCAGTAAAAACCACTAGTTCATACCTTTAAAAAAAGCAAAAAAAAAAGAATTATTCTTGGATAATGTTTGATATCATATATTATATTAAAAATATCAACAGTTATAATAGATATAAAGTCTCAATTAAAATATAAATAAAAGTTTTTGTCTGATAATTAAACTTACCATTGACTAACAATATCTAGAAAGAAATCTACATGTGGTCTTTTGTGGACAAAAAATCTGACTGGATGTCTGTCTATTTTCACCTTAAGAATAAAATCTGGTGGTGTACCAAACCTAACTGTTGGCCTTGCCACTCCATCATGATGAGAGTGAATTAATGTTTCATCTAAATCCAATACTAATATTTTTCTTTTAACTATACCTGTAATATACTTTGGTTATATATAAACACTAATACCCTATAACAGTACATTTAACATAATTGCTAAAGTATCAACAATACTTACTAAGTCTGTGCCTTGACAATGGAGATAATGGGAAGATCTCATATTTAACAGGTTGCATTTGTGATATCTAAAAAATATATCAATTATAAAATAAGAATTATTCATTTAATAGCTAGCATATACAGGATAATACCTCCATTTATCAACATAAATAAGCATCAAAAATAATGATTGATTACAATATACTTATAAATATATTTTCATTAATGGAATATTACACATGTAAAAATAAGAAAATTTCTTAAATTAAAATATTTTATTGCTTCGTAATAAATATTATTTGGCATGATTGATAAAAAATTGATAACATTAAAAATGCTGATTAATAATAACATAGTATACTATAAGCAAAACTACAAATCTTCAAATATCCCTTCAGAAAATAGTGATAATCAAGCTTGTTGCATAAGTTTTGGCATCAACAGTAAACAAAGAAGATAACAATATCAAAGGAAAATGAACTTTCAATCATAGAACAGAATATTTTACCATAATCAACATATGAATATGTTATATTATGACAGTATGATCATAATAAATATTCATTGGAACTGACAAATAATCATTGCAAATGAAAAAACGAGAATCAACATATTCAATGGAGAAATTGACACAGTATCGAAAGGACGTTGTGTTATAAAAATCGTAAAGGCAAAAAATGCTGATAGAGGCGCGAAGCACCTACTTACGGCTCTAACCTGCTTCTTGAGTAGAAAGAAGACGCATGTCCACACTCGGGAGGCCATCAAGAGGAAAGCTCTCATCCCCATCTGCAATTGCTTCAGCATCTCTACTGATCTTCTTACCGGGCCGAAGTCCGGCAACACTTAATCTCCAGTCTCGTTTGAGTTAGGGTTTCTTTATCCCTTGCAACACTCCACTTCGCGTTGTAGTATTATACAAACTTTATCGTAAACAAACGTCTTTTACTCGGATAGGAAACATGAAATCTGAACATTCATCAACATTACGAACCTTGCGCATATAGTAGCGCCGTACACGTGCAAATAGGCTTTCCCATATCTTGTCATGTTTTAGTAAAAATTACAGACAAAATCTATCCACGAATCTTTTTCACACACACCACGCAGTAGCCGCCATCTTTCGCAGATCGACCCAATTTTTCCATGCGCTACGCTAGCGCGCATGATGTTCTGAAAATTCTATTTTATGAGCACTCATACATGATTTACAGTCAGATTTTCCGCGAGCCTACTACACAAGAGAAAATCAAAACGTATAATAGACAAATTGGTCATAAATTGTTGTACAACACAATTGAAGAAAATTATATGATAGTAAGAAATTTATCGATTATTCGGAAGTTTAGAGGCGAATTTTGAATTTAAAACAGTATTTTTTTAAGTGGAGGAGGATTCACATTAAGTACAAATACTTAAAATTACGTACTACAAAGAATGCCGGTATTCAATGTGTTGTACATTATACATATGTATATATATACATATATGTACGTACATTAGTGAATATAATTCTTTCGTAGACTAAGATAACCAAGAACGAGTAAAGTGTTATCTTTTTCTTTTATAGGATGAAAACATGAATATCTGCTATGTTAAGTTGATATGAAAACATGACATTCAGTTTTCGTTTTAATCGAAAAATAAACTACGTGGTTAGTTCTGTTTTTTTTTCTTGCTTTTTGTTACAAAGATGGCGCGTAATATTTAGTTTTTTTTATTGCTATGTATTTTCTAGATAAGTTAAAGAATTAATACTACCAACTTCAACTAGAAAATTGTCAATTTATTCTACTATCCGAGATAATATTAATTAAGCAACACGAATTATTATTTATAAAAAAAGTATTATTACTTTTTATATTAGTCTCTTTTTGAACTAATAGAACTTACCGTAAAAGTGAAAACTTAAAAATAACTTTCTCTGGGGCTTGTAATTTGTAATTATATACGTTAAAACATGTATATTTAAAATTTCTGTCGATTCGATTGGATGAACCATCGCCCGATCCACCTTTCATAATTTAGCATTCATTTGAACGTATCAGATTGTTAAATTTTGTACCAATCAGAAACAAACACTGAGGCAAAAGGAAAGGAAGCGACGGCATTCTATGGTGTTGCTAACTCGCAGATGTAACAACGGTATCAACCTTAAAATCTAGTATGACGTTTATTATACAGGCAGTTGCTTGCGTTGTATCAAAATACTGTGCTCTTAGTGATTGGCTTAGACGAATATTAAATTAAATTTCAATCGAATTAGAAAAAGACCGATTATTCTTGTACTTTACAAGTTGTACCATCAAGCTATAAGAAACACAATGACGGATCCAACAGGGTTACGAATGAACGTGGCCGCTCTCAAACGAGTAGATCCCTATGTAAAAGATATTCTGGAAACTGCGACACACGTAGCACTTTATACTTTTAACGCAGTTAATCATGAGTGGGAAAAAACCAATATTGAAGGTGCCCTGTTCGTATATTCGCGAAGTGGCGAGCCCTATAACAGTGTTCTTATCATGAATAGGTAACATATATACATATATACAGTACATATATACATGCATATGCATATTTGTATTGTAAACGTTTTTCTATATTTTTTAAATATTTTAAAAATATCACGCGCGTGAATAATAGAATGTATATATACTATTTATATTATTTGTATATATTTAATATGTACAGTTAATGTTTGAAGAAATATGTTAAAGGCACGTTAACTACTTTAACATTCACTTTATTATACTATATGCTGTATCAGAAAAATTATTCTTTAGTTTCTCACTAGTGAAACAAATTAATGTGCATTATTTAATTATGATATTATGTATCTCTTGTTTTATATCTGGAGTATTGCAATAATATATATTATGTAAAATTTAGCAATCTTGATATATAGGTTATTATTTGGCTTTATATAAAATATGATATATTAAGATAGTTCTATGCAAGTTGCATACAACTAGTGAAATCATCAGTCATAAATAATCCTATTACTCCATGTTACAATAATATTTTTGCAGATTAAATACAAATAATCTAGTAGAACCAGTTACCCAAGGTTTGGATTTACAACTTCAAGAACCCTTTTTATTATATAGAAATTCCAGATGCAACATTTATGGCATTTGGTTTTATGATAAAGAAGAATGTGTACGAATTGGTGCAATGTTGAATAAGCTTATTAAAGAATCAGAAGAAAACCGCAAGACTTACAATAAACCTGCTGTTAATGTGAAAAAGGATTCTGGTCCTAATATGAACAGTGTTGATATATTTAGTATGCTTAGTAAAGCTCAAGAGGACTTTAATATCAATAGAAGTAATAGTAGTGGAGGTGGTATCAGAGAAAGATTTAGTACTAAATCTCCAGTAGGTACTCCTACAACAGATGATGTATCTGGACCACTAGCTGCACCGTTAGGTCCAGATGTTACTTCACAGAGCGTAATGGATTTTTTTGCAAAAGCAAAAGTTTGTATTACGTGATCAACTATATCTAGTGTTTTTAAATTAGGAACTGAAAGTATGTTAGTTTTTACAATCTTTTTAGGTTAATACTGGACATTTTAAGACTACAGATCAGCCTACTCCTGGGGGTACAGTTACAAATGAAAGTAAACCTTTGCTTGCTCGATTAATGTCACACCCAGCAGCTCACACACTTGAACATATTGAAAAACAACATAGATCTATAACCCCTCAGCCAGCTACTCAACAGCAATCTCAAACAACTCCAACTGCTATATTGACTGCTAACAGTGCTAGTAATACTACGTCTTCAAACAGAACGAAAAAACAAAGCAGATGTGTGTCTCAGCAAGATTCAATATTACCTACGCCTCCATCTTTAACTCTAGAAGCTCTAACACCTATGAATCAAAGTACTACCGATACAAATGGAACAACAGGATTTCTTAGGATACAATCACCTACAAATGCATCAACTTCTACTTCGACAAATCATCAAGCATCGGATATTATCAGCTCTAGCAGTTCAAATCCACTTGCGTCTTTGTTTGCTCATGCATCTGCGACAACGGTGAGTGGACGTGTATCAATTCGCATTAGGTCTATATAACTTTCAAAGTACATGAGAACTGAAACGTTTGTTTTAATTCAATTAGGCATCAGAAGATATTACAGCCCCCACTCTATCAGGAAGAGGATCAGCACCGACATTAATTCCTCCTGTTATGTTCGCTGCTCCTAGTCCACCCGAACCTTTAACTAAACCATTAGAACCATTGACAAAAAATCAGTTTCTTCGAGCTTTTAATTATTTGTTGAAGAGTGACCCGGATTTTATCAACAAACTTCACGAAGCTTACGTTAAATCATTTGGTGAAATACTATCCTAGAACTATGACTTCGTTAATTGGTATGAATGAAACCCGTCATGCGGGTTGTGACGGCCGACTGATTTCATAGTATCGAGCGAAACCTAGTATCTCTATGTTTCATAGACATAGATGGAACACAATGTCTTGCTCGAATTTCAATTGAACTTGACTGGTAGCCCAATTTTTGGGAAGATCAAATCATAGATACAAATAAAGATACATACCTTAAACAGTATTTTTATAAGCTAATACACTTTTTTCCCAAGAAAAAGAGTAAAATGGATCATGGATGAGCAAGGTATGAAAACATGTGGAAATTGTAAAGGGAATGAAACTAGAAATATGAAAATTGTACGATTTTAAACTGTGATGCCAAAACATTTATATTATACTAACGTTTTATGGTTACTATTTCGAAACGAAACAAGACAAATTTTCTGAGCTAATAGATTACCTATTTTATGGAATAATGACATACCCTTCCTATATATCGGGTATCGATATGGTATGCATATGTAATTGATAAAAGAAGGAAAATAAATAGACACCGATTACTGAAAAATTATTTCAATATATTTTAAGTCGATTTTCGTATCGATTTATCCCTCATGAGTGACACGTTGTAAAACAAAGTTGTGGTACATATTTAATAATGTAATTATTATACAGTTATGTCATACTATCACAATATAATAATATTTATATGGAATATGATTATTATGTGAGGAGTACACGATGTACCAGAATAACTAATTTCCGGAAAGAAGTATCTTATACAATTAGTATAAGATGTACCAGATGTACCAGAATAACTAATTTCCGGTAAGAAGTATCTTATACAATTTAAAAAAAAACAAATATCAGACTCTTAGCGCTCTTCATTTTTCGTCGACATTATTTTTCGATGGAAAAACACAATTCTCCGTACTGCTGGTTTATGTGTATGTCCCTCGAGATTATATTATAACATTACTATGATTTTGTGGCTAGATTCATCGAACAACATCGAAGTCTGACGATATCGTAAAATTTGATTACAATTAAAATTTGTACATCGCCTAAACAAGCGAATATCATTTAATATACAATACAAAATACATAATCTATTTACAATGCTACAAATAAAGATGATATCATGCGTTTTATTTTTTTCTCTCTTTTTTTTTTTCTTTCAACTAACGTCATGTACAAAGGCCCTGTTTCACAGGCCCTTTCTCACTCTTCAATCATACGACGATCATTCAAGGTTGTTCAGAGGAATTGCAGCTATCGATGCACAACACGCATATGTTATAATTTACAGCAGTCGCTTTTTTTCACAAAATTCACAGCCAAGTGGAGCTATACAAGCCCGCTAGCTTTTTAGTTAGTCTTACTGATTGTCTATCCGCTAGAACACTTTATCGAACGTCTTTGGGATTGCAAGATAATTAAACAAGAGGCACTTTCGGTGGTCCTAATAACGGTGGCCCATTACCGGGCATCCGATGTGGTCCGAGTTTGTCGCTTTGCGTCGGCACAGGCTGCAGTAATCTAATGGCAAGACTGGCCAGTATCAGTAGAACGATCAGACCGCAAATCGGTACAGCTATCGTGGCAGTCTTGAACCATCCATCTGTCGATTGACCTCGGTGACTGATCGGCTGCACCGGGCCGAGAAAAGGTCGTTGGTCACCTACCAGCACTGTTAACAATAAAAAGTTTTTCGTTACATACCTGGTTGTTGGAAATAAATTATGCAAAACGTATCATTATTCATAAATTCACACAACCTTCGACTTTCGCTATTGTTTTAAATCAGTGGCTCGAGACTTTGTAGAATTGTCTCTGTATCTTAACGTATGTAATATCGAAGAAGAAGAAATCACTAAATTCAAAGAAATGGATATTATATGAGTAATTAAGTTAAAAGGGAGGAGAACGAAATTATGCTATTCTATGGACATCGATACAGAACGAGGAGAGCGTGACTTGTATTAAAAAGAATTCGTTGCAAAATAAACGTTCAGATGCGTACGAAAATAGCATTATAGAGAAACGCGAAAGCGCCATTTTTGATGGCACCGAGGCGAGTCAAGTCCGCGCAATTTTAATGATCTTGCAATGAGAATATTCGTTTAACCTTGGAGAGTCTTGTTGAGCCTGTTTCTCATGGCTGGGCTATCTACGTGGTTGCAAAGATCCTGTTCACAACATAGGTATCCCGTGGGACATTGCTGTTCTTTGAAGCTCTCGTCGAGACAACCACTGTAAGCGCTATGCTCCGCTCTTAATAACGATGGATAAAAGCAGCCCCTGCCACGGCACATGTATCCTTGAGGCACGCATTCCGGTTGATTGCAATAACACCTCACCTCACGGACGGACGGCGAGTCTGTAAAACGGAAAGGAACATCGTGATTAATTAATTTTCGTTATTTTTTTCGGGTGGAAGAGTAAAATCGAATTAATCGATATGATTAAGTTAAAAAGGACTCGGTGAGAGGAATTGCATGCAAGAACGTCGAGTTTGTCATCCAAGAGAATCGGAGCAACAAAACAGAAATAATATTATAACATATCGTCTCTCTCAGCGCAATGTTCGAAATTGTTGGACAGAGGGAGAGACGTTTGAGGTCAGAGAACAGTCCGAACTGGAATAATACCGAAAGTGTGATAAAGCGAGCAAGACGTTTCCTTCGGAGAGGCACTCGTCTTTCCTTTTCCATACTGTTTTTGATAATAACAGTCGTGATTGATAATAAGTGACTCACACAGATTAATGACACAATATCACGGCTTGTCTTTACATGTGGTAAGTTCCTTTCCACTGGTCTTCAACATACATGAGATTTAATCAAGAAATTTATACGTGACTGATCTGGTAATGTACTGCCTAGGGTTCCTAATTGATTACATTTCATCTTTATTTATAAAGTGATGTAAGACAATTCGAGGATCGTTAAACATTTTTACGCTCGAACATCCTAAGCAGAACTGCCTTGGCGGCCTCCCCTAATGAGTAGCCGACTGAGAGTCATAAAATATTATACCATGCTCGTTGCAACAGGTATACAGAGCTTACTTTCATTTACCTGCCGGCTACCAAGGCTTTCCTCCCGTTCGCCGATGTGACTTGTATAATTTTATCTCGGCTCGTATAAAAATCCTACTAAAAAAAACTCTGCTAGACTCCAATCGATTAACCGTAACTTCCGATTTTCATGATCTATCATAACATTGTGCGGTTTGACGTTATGCCCTATGCATTATTCCCATACTATGACAGTAATCCAGTGCTTTTAATAATTCGTAGAAGTAATATCTTATATCGTAGTCTGTTGGCATATAATATAGCTTGAAATCTGTGTTGTTCACATGTTTAAATATCAGTGCCGGTGTTCTCGATACAGGATCTTTGACAACAGCTTGGAGTGTAATTATGTTGGTCCCACCTTTGAGGTTTTCTAAGATTTTAATCTCCCTTTTTATTTTCTTCTTTTTTACAAGCTTCAAAATTTTTTTTATATTTTCCTCTGCCTAATTTTCTTACTAGTTGATAATCATCTTATTGTCCCCAATCGACAACATAAGATTCATAGTCCCAGTAATCTCTGGATTTGTGTAAATTCACATCTGGGTAGTGCCATTTTTTTCTGATATATCGCTACTACTATTTATTTTTGCTGGTTACTATTCTTTCACTGTTGTCTATCGAAAAATTACAAAAGCTAGTTAATTTGTATCCTTCACTCGCCCAGTTACAAATGCGCGAGGACAAATATACACCTAAAGCATTTCGGAGACGAATCTCGATCAGATTGACTGCAACAGATCTCGAAATTCGTCATGAAACCACGCAACCTGCTTAAGAGATACGTGAGGCCGCGCGAACGCGTGAAACTCGAAGATATTTGCGGCTGGTTTCTCAAACGATCGAGGTTCAAAATGATCCTATAAAAATCCTACTATTATACGTCGTTTGAGTAAAATCTATAAACATATGTATACGCGCTGGCAGCATATTTGTCAAACAAAATTTCTTAAAATAAACGGCAGAGAGGCCGGGAAATTTTCGGTAAGGAGCAATGTTTGAGATCCTTTGCTCGGGGCGACTTCAACCAGGGGGGTCTGGAAGAAATCCACGTTAAGAAACAGGCTCGATACACTGGGACCGTGCTTGACACAGCGTAAATATACATTACACGGAGAGAGTAGAGTTCTCTCTCCGCGGTGTGTTAATGAGGGCCGTATGAAATAAACAAAGAGACATGGAGCAGTTCGCAGTGACTAACCATCGTACCGCTTGTTTATTATGATAATGCGAAGCCATCTTTATCCGTGACTTTACTCTCCTCCGCTCAGCCTTCTCTTCTGCCCCTCTTCTCTCTCTCTTTCTCTCTCTTCGCGCATTGCTTCCTTTGGTCCTCGCTCGGAATAATTTATCTCGCCGCACACAGGCTGCCATGTGAAATCCACTGCAACCTAGCTGCGGTTCGACGTAACGAAATAATTCATTAGCATGATTGAACGTTTTGTCCCGGCGATTCTCGCGAAACTCTCTCTCGAGGCGATCGCGACAACGTTCTTTCCGTCCTCTGTCATCGGGATACGAAGAGACGCGATGGGCCGATCGACGCGAAACTTTAAAATCGCGAAGCAATGTCGGCCAGTCTCTTTCGTCGATGAAATAAAGATCCCCCCCCCCCCCCGGTTTTGCAACGATTAGCTGCAACACACTTGTTTATTATGGTAATGCGAGGCCATCTTATCCGCGATATTGCTCCGTCTATCCTTCTCTCAGGAGTCTTCTCCTCATGTCTGCCCATTAAACCGTCCTTTCTCCCTCGACGAAACTTTTTGCGTTCCCCTCTTTCTCTGGCTTCTTGCTAATAAGCTTGCAACGGTGCGTCCCTCCCTCTGTCTCTCCCGCCGACTCTCCTCCATTCTCTCTCGTTCGCCTTTCTTCTTCTTCGCTTCTCCCTCGTCATCATCCTCTCTCTCTCTCTCTCTCTGTTTCGTCCACCGAGGCCCGGCTCATCGGGGAATAAAAAACGTTAAAACAGCCGAGTCACAAAAGAAAGATTAAAGTGGAGAGAATATATGGAGAGAGGCATGCGGCCTCTCGGTTGTGTGCACCGCTGCTGTGCCGCGGCTCGCTCGGTCGACTCGGTCGACTCTCACGAGGCTTTCGGAGCGACAGAGCCAGCCACCGCGGATACTCGCAAGAGGGAAACTTCTCTTCACCCTCTCGAAACTTCGTAATTACGTCAAATCTCCTGCACGAGCCTCGATTGAACGCGGGGAATTCCAATTTCGTCGAAAGATTCTTCCTTTTCGAAATGGATCCGACTGTCGGAAACTTCGTGAATGTCTCTTTCAAAAGGAATCTACTTTCCGATACGGAGAGATACGAAGGTCTATCATACGTTTCACATTACGTGATACCGTTCGACAAGATAATTCGACGTTTCTCTGAAAGGTATTCCTTTCTTTTTCGGATCGGGAGCCGCGGAGAAGGCGCGCGTAGGAAGGGACTAGAGAGAAGCGCGCTCCGTTGAGAAAGGAGGGAAAGGGAGAGGAGAGGGAGAGAAGCTCGGAGAGAAGGGCCTCGTGTGCGTTTTAAAATAAAAAGGGAAAAGAGGAAGCAGCGGGAGGTCGAGAAGGCCTGGGCAAAAGAGAGATACGGCCGACATGCCTGGAGCCGAAGAAGACCCGTCCGAAAACAAACAGACTGCTTCGCGGGGTCGTTCGTTATGCGTCCATGGCATATTAATTATTTCCCGACCGGCTCTATCCTCTCACCCTCTGTCTCCCTCATTCTCCAACCATGTTGCTCGTATTTCTTTCGTTTACATTTTTTCCTCCGGTTGCTAAACGATTACAGGCCCGAGAAGCACGCGAATCGATGTTCCACGTTGCATTATTTTCGCAACGACTTCTCGATACGCGGCAACTACGTCCAGTATTTTATCTCTCGTTTTCGAGCCGAATTTCGAGACGAATTAACCGATCGAAATTGCCTTTTCGTACGTGAAACGTACCGAAATGTCTGTGGTTAAAAGCGGAGCATTGCGAAACTCGTTCCCCACGGATTCCTTCGATTTAATAACGTTATAATCTGTAATTTGTGCAAACGCGCGTGTATACGTGCGTGTATTGGGAATTGAATAAAGATCACGAGAGGAGTAGAAGGGAGGAGAAGGGACGGGAAAAAATATACGTTGCGGTGCCGCTGGCAAAAAGGTAGACAGGTCTGAAATGCTTGACGAACGTTCGCCTCTGTATGTTTTGCGCTCGTAAAACTGTCCGATTTCTTCGGGCACGATCGGCGAATTCTTCGTATTCGTATCTCTCGATAAAAGCTTTTAGCGGCGCGCGCTCTTTCAGCGCGCGAGCACGCTTTTCGACGAAGCTTAACCTTTAACTTACTGACGTTAGATATACGAAGCCGGCCGGGACATCGGATATATCTAACGAGATACACGTGCTGGCTACTTGTAACTCTCAGATAAGCTTGTTTATTTGTTAGAACTACAACAACAGGCCGATGGATTCATCTGGGATTAAATGTTCATTTACATCCTCGACGAGCTCCGAAGTAATCGTACTTGTTTGCATTCGCAGTGAAAAATTAGCCGATCGACCAAGTATTTTTCGCCATTTAACCTCTTGCGCTGGAACGACTTGTGCCACGCACGTCGAGAACTTTTTGTTCCAAAAGTTGTAATATTTTCTCAGTTTTCTAAGTATATATTTAAGTAAAACAAAATAGGCAGAACGAATAATGAATTTATTATTTCTAAATCATTTCTAGCCAGCGATATCATACCGACGAGTTCAAAAAGAAAACGAATTTATTGTATACGGTTTGGTCGCTCGTTATGGTCCGCAATCAGTTGCCAGCGCAAGCGGTTAATTCATCGAATTGTGACTAATTAACACAACGAACAACGGACTGTTTAATCACCTGCTTTTGCGATCTTTGCAAAATATGCATTCTACAGTATATTTTGTTGCCTCTACGTTTAAATTTATTCCAAACTTGACGGATATGACAGTCAGAGTCTCGTTAGAGTGTCAATGAATTGTCAAAATTCTGTTTCTCATGACAGAAAATATATATATGCATAAAGTGTGTTTTAAAACTGTAAATAAAGTGCAACCGCAACGTTCGATGAAACTATTTTCTCGTTATGCGTCGTTAGAATTTCACTCGGCGGTATATGTATGTAAGAAGCTCTCCGCAGAGCGAAGCGCAGGCTCGATCGACGTGGAATTCAACGAGCAAAAAGATAATCGATACTCGCGTCGATAACGAGTCGCTAAAAGCGCTCCGCGAAGGGTTACGATTCGTTTATCCAAACGACTCGTGCAACATGCCCGAGGATAGAA